TGCAACTCCGTCTTGTTCTTTGGGATGGGCGCCTGCTGGATAGCGCGGATCTTGGATGTGGTCGGGTGAAGGCCAGAGGCATCGATAAGATAGCCCAGGAACATCACCTGTGGAACGGCGATCTGGCACTTCTCCCTCTTTACCTTGAGCCCGGCCTCCTGGAACCTGGTCAGCACGGCGCGGAGGTGCTCGAACAGCTGCTGGTATGAATCTGCAGACACCAAGACGTCATCAAAATATGGTACCACGCCCGGAAGCCCTTGCAGGAGACGCTCCATGAGGCTTTGGAAGATGCCAGGAGCCACACTCACCCTGAACTGCAAACGGCGGCAATGGAATGCCCCTCGGTGGGTGACGATCTTCTGGGCTTCAGCGGTGGCATCATCGAGGGGCAGTTGTTGATAGACATGATAGGCAGGATTCAAGCACAAGAGCACTTCCACCTTCTGTGAATGTCAGCAGCTGGTATTCAGAAACAAACTGCTTCCTTTATTTTTATTTTTAGTCAGCTTGATGTAACACAGAAAATTCCTTTGCATTATTTCAGAAGAGCTCCATATGGAGTTTGCATTTTGTGGGACACAAGGTTTGAATGTCTCCATGGCAACATAGCATCAGAGGGGAAAGACAAAGCCCAAACTGAAAATATTTAATTATGAAGTGAGTGCTTTGTGCTTTTGTTTACAGGGAAACAACAGAACTCCTCTTGTGGGCTCTTAATATCTTGGGGGGGCGATATATAAACCCATCGCACAAAGCACAACAGATATTATCAACAAATCCAATTGCAAACTCCTATGGTAATTTTAAATTTATTCATTTCTTTCCATAGCAACATTTATAAAAGTTGATGGGATGTATTGCTCGGCACCTCTTGGGTGTTAAGATTAGTAGATCTCTGACTAATTTCGAATCTATTGTGTTGAATTAGAGGTACTAAAGGACTGGTCTCTATTATTCATGGAGTGCTTTTAGTTTGGCAACTGGAGATGGGGGCAGGAGTGTCGCTGGGAAAGGGTTGTGGCCTGGGAAGAGTCTCGAGAACCAAATGGAGAGGTCTGGAGGACCACATTTGGCCCCCAGGCCTGAGATTCCCCAGTCCAGCAGACTCAAGAAAGTGGTATTGGAAGGAGTAGATTGAGAGTGAATGCAGGGTTGTGAGGACTCTCAGTGCTGGGGAGTGGCTTCAAATCTGAATACAGATTGGTTCGGAAATAAGATGATCTCTTCCCTGGCTTTGGAGGAAGCAGCTTGGTTTTATTTCTGAAAAATTGCAGTTTGAGCCAGGAGGCCTCGCCCATCACTCCCTGAAAAACACTATATGGATATATTTCATCCTCAGATGCCCTGGAGGTTGAACTAGTCCACCCACATACCAAACATGGTATGTTTACCAAAGTGGAAGGCAATATTCTTCAGCATATGACATGAGCAGCAAATGAAAGGCCCAAGGGCAAACGTTGATTTATTCTTAAGTAAACGCATAGTTTTGGCAGGATTCCTTAATGCAAAGAGGCATCGTTGCCCTAGCTCTCTGCCAATGTTTGCAAATCACCTAATCCTACAATCCTTAAATAAAGAATGAAGTCCTTCAGCGACAAGGGAAAGTGCAGCTACCCTAGCGAAGGGGCGACGTGATATGAGTAGCCGATTTTCATCCCTAGGACACTTATGCAAAATTATTGGCTCCATAGAACTCAGCTAGAGGTCTAGTATCACAAGACAGTGCTCTAACCCCAACCCCTCTAAACCTGGATATTTTCTACCATTGCCTCTGCACTTGGGAAAGTCCTTCCCTCCGCCTTATATGTGAAGCATCATCAATTATTTGCTTCAGGTGTCTTGTTACAGGGGTGGTGAAATATACTCGGAGTCGAGAGTGGATTTCATGCTCTTTATTCAGCTCATAATGGTGAGGAGGAATGGAAGTTCCCCCAGAATATCTGCTTTATATACATTATTTACACAATGGGCCCCACGTGATTGGGTAATTCTGGGATTCTCCTGTAGGCCAATCATGTTGCGGATTCACTTCCACCTGGAGCTGGATTGGGTGGCTCCTGTGGACCGATGCATTCTGGGTCCTATTGTTCTAGGACCAATCAGACTGCTGCATTTTGGATCTTATTCAACTCAGTACATAACAGGTGGCTTGTCTCATTTCTTCGCTTGCTATTGCTTCTTCTTCCCAGCTATTGTTTTGTATGAACTCAGCCGATAACGCAACTGGCTTTGCGTAACAGAAAATAAGGGAGCGGGGAGGAAATCTAGCACAAATAAGCTGTACACAGGTGCTCCCTCCTCTATGACTTCGGGGTACACTTTTTCAAGGGTTAGCGTGCTGGCCATAGGAAGCTATCATTGCTGGAGACTCAAATGGGATAGGAGAGGCATGGCTGGCTGTGGGCAGTCTTTGGGGGAAGTTCTCCAGCAGGACAAACTTGGTTCAGTTGATAGGAGCTCTACTCTAATGCTCTCTCTCTCCCACCACCTGCAACAAAGGTAAAAAACAAAACAATAACCGCCCCCCCCAAACCCAAAGAGACTGGAACTACCACCCACTGGTTCTTCCCATTCCCAAGCTGCATTTGGATCCATGGCCAGCCACCTCCTAGTTTTTTCACTTCAGGCATCAATGCTGTGGTCCTGGAGAAGGTTGGGCACAGTGTTCTCCATCTTGCCATGGGGGATTGTTCTCACTTGCTCTGTCAGGATCCCAGTACGTCGTCAATATAGGACAGGGACTGGACTGACTACAGCTGTTTTATCTATTTTAAAATTTTATTTAATTTTTTTTTTCAAATTTTCACACCAAACATTAACCAATACAACCATTGATATTAGTCATCAAATTCCCTTCCCCCCCTTACATGGTTCATTTTTAATTATCCATTACTACCGCACATTCTGATTACTCCATATTTTCCCCCTTTCTCATTAGTATACCTTTGCTTAACTGATACTCCTGAAATTACTCTAACCCTGCTAACCTTTTAACCTGTTTGCAATAATTCTTCAGATATTCTACAAGCATTTTCCAATCTTCTCTGAAAATTCTTTCTTCCTGTTCTCTTATTCTACGAGTTAGGTTTGTGAATTCTACATACTCCCATCAGTTTCACCTGCTACTCATCCCTCGTTGGTACTGTTCCCTCCCTCCATTTCTGAGCATATTTTCATCTGGGCTGCCATGGTTGCATAGAGAAACGAATTCTTTCGATCTCTGTGGGCATCTGATCCTACTATTCCTAAAAGCAAGGCTTCTGGTCTTTTTACAAAACACCTTTTGAACTGTCCCCCTCCCCCCCCCATTTCATTATACATCATTTCCCAGAAGTCCTTAGCTAATTTACATGTCCACCACATAGGGTAAAACGTACCCTCTGTTTATTGACATTTCCAGCAAATACCTGATTCTGATTTACACTTTTTTGCTAAGTTGCTCGGCGTCAAATACCACCTATATATCATTTTCATAAAATTATTTTTTAACGTATAGCAGGCTTTGCAGTAGAAAAGTTCCCATTCCCGTATTTTTTTCTGCTGCAATCACAAACTACCCTGTGATCTTTGGATGAAAGATGGCAACATTTATAAAATAAAATAAAATAAATCCCCCTTTCCGTTGCTCCATTTATTTACAGTAGAAATTAATATATATATAAAAATAAACACAGAGGCGGGGGGGGGAAGAATATACTGCACCAAACAACAACAACCCCACATTGGCATCTCTGCTTTGTAACAAGGACGGCAATTTATGGACCGCCAGATATGCCTGTACTCCAACTCCCATCAGCCCCAGCCAGCAATGTCCAACAGCCAGGCATGCTGGGAACTGTAGTCCAACAACATCTGGCTCGCGCCGGAGCTCTCTTTACCTTTTCTACTCTCTCTTCAGCCGCTTACCCCTTTTCTTAAACCCCGTTTTCAAGACGGCACTTTCGCCACCACTCTCCCTCTCTGCTCCTTTTAACAATGTACTGTACGTATTCACGCTTTTCTCCTCACCCCCTCCACGCGACACGCATCCCCTCAAGCACCCTCCCCCTCTTGCTGTGGCTCGAAACCCCCTCCCCATCGTCCAACTGACGAATCTGCTGAAGCCTGACTTCCTTCTCTCTTTTTTTTGCCCTCTCGGCGTTCGCCTCAGCCGCCGGAAGCGTCCCGGCCGCCATTTTGTCTCGGGCAATGGCGACGCTGCAGGGCCTTGAGAGGAGCCTGTCAGGGGGGATGGAGTCGTCGTCGTCGTGAGTCCGGGGAGATAAGGGGAAACCGGGCGGGCGAGTTAACTTCTCCCCCGCCCTCCCCCTTGGTTCGGGCGGGAGCAAGACTAGGCCTCGGCGATGTACGTGGGACGGGGCAGCGTGGCGGAGGCCGGGCCGGCGCCGCGGACCATCCTGTCGGTCGGCGGGGCGGCGTCGCGCCCTGTTGCGGCCGCGGCTGCGGGTCCGAGTGGCGGCGGTGGCAGTAGCAGCAGCAGCAGCAGCGACGGAGGAGGAGGAGGAGGAGGCCGCGTGGAGCTCCTCGTCTTCGGCTACGCGTGCAAGCTGTTCCGCGACGACGAGAAGGCCCTTCAGCAGGAGCAAGGCCGCCACCTCATCCCTTGGATGGGAGAGCCCTCCATCATGATCGATAGGTCGGTGCAAGCCAACCCCCCGCCCGCCTATCGCTTCTTCCTTTTCTGTCGTGGTTTTTGGTGTGTGTGTATGCGTGTGTGTGTATGCGTGTATCTTGCGTGTCACGCTTTCTACGACCCTCTGCCAAGCAGGATCAATAAAGGGAGACCGGGGGCGGGGTTAGGGGAGAGAGAGGGAAAAGGCGACACACACACACACACACATATATATACATACATATACATATACACACACTATGAAGGACTATTTTCATTGTTGCTGATTGGTTTGATTATTATTATTATTAATTTCATGAAATTTAATGCACCGCTTGAATTTTTTAAAAGTACCTCAAAACAGTGTACAGAAAGATAAAACAGGAAAAAGAAAGGGGGGGCGGGAATCACAGCTGTGCCAGAAGTTAAAATACTACAAGTATTAAGATTCACCTCTGCTTTCTAAGCACCTGGGCAGACTTGTCTAAACAGGAATGTTTCCATCAGGCGCTGAAAAATGTACAGTGAAAAGGAGGTGTCTGCTTGATCTCAATAGGCAGGGAGTTCCAAAGTGCATGTGCTGCCACACTAAACGAATGGGTATTATGTGGCACCTGTATTTTGCTTTGTTTTATTTATTGAACAAGAAGAGTATTGTTTTACTCTCACCACCCAATTTTGTGGGCAGCTGTGTTGGTCTGTTTAAGAAAGCGACCGAGGGAAGGAGGAGATAAAACACCCCCAAAAGTTAACAGTAAGGCAGGAGTGGGGAATCTGCATGCTGCCCCCACCAAAAAATGTTTTTGGGACTATAAATCCCATCGTTCTTGACTGCTCACCATGCAGTTTGAGCCCAGCAATATTTTGGGAAGGCTACACCTTCCCCACCTCTGGTTCAGTGTCTTTATTAAGGCTCTGATCCTTTGCACACTTAATTATCTGGGACTATGCACCTATCAAGTACAGTGGTGCTTGCTTCTGAGTAAACGTGTAGGGTTATACTAATGGAGCAGTTAAAAGAGAGTAGTGTTCTTTAGTTCCTAGCCTGTTGCCCTTATTTTACTTTTGGGTGGGTGCAAAATCTTCCTTTCTGTCATTTGGTTGTGATGCCAAAAGGAGTAGGGAATTAACTTTAAAGTTGAACAGATTTATCAAGGCATAAGCATCCATGGGCTGGAGCCCACTTCGTCCTCATTTGGCAGATAATGACAAATTTCCATATATATCTGAATTTGTGTGTGTGTGTGCATGTATTTAATTCTGGGTCTTTATCTTTTTTGACCAAAGCAGCATTTAAAAAGAACAAAACCATTAATAACAACTAGGTTAAAGTTAAAACAACAGCACATTGCTAGCTGAGGCTAGCATTTTATATATTTGGGCTCAAGCCCATGGATGTCTACCCACAATAAAATTGTTCATCTTTAAGGTGCCACTGGGCTCCTTACTGTGGTTGATGTGGCAGACCAACGTGGCTACCCCTCTGGATTTGGTGGTGGCAGTGATCATACATGATCCATAGAAGTGATGGGGACGATGACACAGGACTCAGTTGGGGGGGGAGCGGGCAGTCTTAGGTAGAAGTGCTTCCTTGCGACATAGGATTCAGGCTTGCCTTTTGATAACACTTGGTAATTCTAGAAGCCTCTGGCCTCCCCCAATGTTCACTTCCTTCCTGGCAGAGGGTTAACATATAATGCCCCCCTCCCCCTTGTAGGAGGGTTGTGTATGGTTATATATATTTATATATGCTGGGGTGGGAATAATCTCCTTTTCAAACCAAACTTCATAATGGCTTCTCCTATGAACTGAACGAAGACGAGCTTTTTTGTTTGTGTACTGGAAAATAAACAAAATAACTTGTCTCCTTTTCCCTTGGGTTTTAGATGGGTTTTCAAGTAGCCTAATTTTGGAATGTATCCCTTTTGGTATTGTGTTGTTGGCTGGAACGTTTTGTGATGGTACCTGGAATGTTTTGTATGGAAAATGCCTTTCCATCCTAACTTCCAGCAAGACCTGTAGACTGATGGACTCAGCTGTTGGTGATGTGTCAGCCCTAAAATAAAAGACCTCTTCCCTAGATCACTGTTGAGATTCTGCCTCTTCTGTTGTTTAGCTTATTTCTGTTTCACTTTTCCTTCACTGGTGACATCTTTGCAACACCTCATGTGAGGCAGGTTAAGTTGGTGAATAGCGATAGCTTTGTAGTGAATGAGCATCATAGCTCAACAGGGACCCCAAACCTGCGATCACTTCTTCTTAACATTTACATCTAGTATTGCTTCTGGCATGTGCCAGCAAATGTTTAAGCAGCTGCTACATATGTTGCTGTTTATCTAATTTGGTTCATTATGTTGCTGATTGGAGGTGCACTGGTAGGATTAGAATCTGATAGTGATTTTTGACTTGTGGAAACCTTTCTGATTGCAATGTAGGTAATGGCTTCTGCAATCTTTGTATATCTTCCTTACGCTTGGTAGTGCTTTCAATTTTGAACAAAACCTTCTAAATGGAGCTTTGTGTCTGGTTGGATAGTCTCAGTGTTGGAGGATTTTCTGCCTGTGCTTTTAGTGGATGGTTATTTAGGGACTTTTTCACGAATACTAATATACAAGGAGACTGAACCAGATTTTTAAGTAGTGATGAATTCCCCATAACACTCAGCACAGGAAAGTCTGAATGACTTTGGTTTGAAAAGGGGCACATGGCATATTGTAAATGTTTGCTCCTTCCGTTTCAATTTCACACAAAGACCCAAATTGAAAACTAATTTTTATGTTATGATAAATAATCCCAAAGTGATAGCACCCTTGAACCTAGGCAAAGCACATGACAAATTACTTTCCGTGGGAATTTCTGTAAAGGACCATTGCATGCCAGTAAAGACTGAAAATGAATTGTATACAGAAAACCTCTATAGATACTAGATAATAAAGTTTCTTTTTCCAGGTACACAACCAAACAAGTGTTTTTAGTTTGAAGGATTGGTGATGAAGTGATAAATTGATTATTGGTTGGAATTCGGTTCTATGCTAAGCAAATTGAATAGCAGTGTAAATTCAAGTGTCTTATGTGCTGGTGGAATTTTCAGTAGGGTTAGGGATGCGGACACACACTTATTGGGCAGCTTGTAGTCTGGAATGAATCAGCTGTGAAGAACGGTGGGAGCAAATTGTAGCATATGCTCATGGCCTATAAAGTAAACAATCTACATTTGTAAATTAAGGAGGTTTGACAAACTTACACACAACTGTAATACAAAATAGCTTTCAGATGGGCAGGAAAATTTTTATATTTTTCTAGGAATCCTCATTTTTACCTTGAGCAGTCCAAAATTGTTCATCTTCATCAGAAGATGAAATAACATTGGTATTGAGATATTCAAGGCCAAAATTCCTGTGGGAAAATGCTTTTGGTAATCTGTTGCTTGTTGTGATATTTTTTATTTTAAGCTGGTCAGACTTTTATGCAGTGTCCATCTCGGACTGGTGAAATTCATTGCTGTGTCAACTCACTTTTTCCAAATCACATGGAAACCATTGGATTATTACTAACATTCTTCAATAAACTAAGCTAAACCAATGTTGCACAAATAATTCCACAGAAATTATTAGACAATAAAAATGCTTACTAAGTTACTTGCCAATCATACATTTATAGCACACATTTCAGTTTACAAAACTATATTTGATTGCCTGAGGGTGATTCTTACTTGCCAAAGGTGACTAAATGAAAAGCTGTTTACAAGCCCAAAATAAACCATTTAACTGTATTTAAGGAGACTTCTGTATCTCTTTAGCATTATGGTATTTTTAGTACCTTCTGTAGAGAACCTCCTTAAATTGCACATATGTTACTGTTCCTATATATGTGTGTCTCTCTATCACATAATCAGCACTTCTTTCCTCAGCCAAATGGCTAGGGGCCGAGCCTAGCCATGATTTTACCTCCAATGGACGCAAGTTTCTTTGGTGAAGATTTCTCCTGAGAGTTCGAGACTAGCAGAAAGAAGCGAGGAAATTGCGACCGTTTGGTTCTTACGGATAGGTATTTATGTATTTGGGTTTGTGTAAATGTAACATATTGCCTTTCCACAAAAAATATGTATTTTATCAAGGGTGTTGAATGGTTGAACCATAAACGGTAAGAACAATGGAGGAATTGGTTCTTTTTTAACTAGTAAGATATTTTGTAATAGTCTTAAAGGGGGATTTGAAACCTATATTTTAAAAAAAATTGTAGTGGGTGAGAAGTGATTAGTCAGATTAAAATACTGATTTAATTCATATTAAATCTTCTTTTTCAAATGTGTGTGGTAAGTATTTGTATAGTGGCAGAAACTAAAGCCCAAAGTTCTTCCATTGACCATATCTTTCATGTTGCAGGTATGATGGGCGTGGTCACCTGCATGACCTTTCTGAATATGATGCTGAATATTCCACATGGAACAGAGATTACCAGTTGTCTGAAGAGGAGGCTAGAATAGAAGCCCTCTGTGATGAAGAGAGGTATTTAGCCTTGCGTACGGACTTGCTTGAGGAGGAGGCAAGGCAAGGTATTGCTCAAGGACAACTTCCTGAGTTAGAACACATTTAATTGAAAATAACTTTTTTAAAAATTCGTTCCCACTCATTATATACTCACTCTTTCTGATATTATTTTGACAGTACCCAGTGGATTCGAAAAGCAAGCGTCTTTGCGTATCTGAGAGGACCTCAGGATAGTTTATATGTAGAGCCACACAGAATTTGCCCAAGTTTTGAGGGCAGGCTGAGAATTGAGACACTTTTAACTGTTCTTCTTTAACAGTATTGTATCAATTAAAAAGTTCATGTCTTTGTCTTTGTTTTAAGTAGAATGATTTAACTCTTAAGACACTTATCTCAGCAGGAGAAAACCGATCATCCAGACAAAACCAAAAAAAGCATATGCCTTCTGCCCCCTGGGGCTGACACAAGTCTCAGTGACCACAGATGACCTGTGTGGTGCATTTGCTGTAAATGGTTGTGGTTGAATGTTAGGTTTCAAACCATTAACATACTTTGAAAAAATAAAAGTCTTGTGGGAGTTTTGTGTTCATTTTTTAATTGAATTTTGCATTTTTATTCAAGAGGAAGAATATAAGAGACTGAGTGAAGCTTTGGCAGAAGACGGTACCTATAATGCAGTGGGATTCACTTACAGTAGTGATTATTATGATCCTTCGGAGCCCACTGAGGAGGAAGACCAGCCTTCAAAAGCAAAAGGTAAGATTCTATGGATTATTAGGGAGAGTACCTTTTTCTTCAGAAAAAATACTTTCAGGCTCAGCATGTGAACTGTATGAGAGATCTAGAAAGAACAAGCTTGTTGAAGATGCATTATCATCCCATGCCATTTGTAAAACTATCTGAGCAAACTGGGAGTTTTGTCATTATGGAAATAGGCAAACTGTTGTTTTCTGTGTTTCCTGGGGACTCCAATGTTATGGATGCCAGAGATGTCCCTCTAAAGCAGGAATGAGAAACCTGTGCCTATTCAAAGGTTGTTGAACTCCAGTGATCAGCCCCAGCCAACATAGCCAGTGATCAGGGGAGCTTGGAGTTGTAGTTCAGCAGCATTTGGATGGCAACTGATACTCCATCCTGATTTGAGGAAAGACATGTAGTTGCAAAGGAAGGCATGAACTTCATTCTGAAGCCTTTTTTTTTTAGTAGTTCACCTTTATTGCTTGTCTTTATTTATTTATTTAGTAGTTTTTAAAATCTTTTGGTGATTATCAAAGAGTCATGCATGAACCTCAACACAAAGTTTTTTATTTCCCTTTGTGTTTCTTTTCTGGGAACTTCAGCTGGACAAGAATTATTTAAAGTTGGGAAAGGGGGCTTGTTAATTGTATAACATGTAATTAACACATTCATCCTAGAAATTTGAAGGTTGTATTTTTTTTTTTAAACTGGCCTCTAAAAGTAATAAAATAAAATACGAAAACAGAAAACCTCATATTAATCAAGATCTATCAAATGTATAATGTTTGCTTTAAAAATTACAATTCCCTTCTTCAGTATTTCATTTTTTGTTATAGTTGACTATGTTTACTTATGCTAATCAATGGAGACACATGGACAAACTGAAATGAAATTATTCAAGGCTGCAAAAGCTTTCTGGAAGGATTCTGCCTTGTCATAGAATATCAAATGTGTGGTTATTTTAAATACCCTCTCCTAAGAGAGAATTGCTTTGATTCAGTACAGAAGCTCAGTATTCTTTTACAAACACACTGAGGAATTTTCTGTGCAGTCAGAAACAAGAGAACTCTGTAGTGATTGTCAGCTTTTGGTAAAAGCTCTGCTTTTGTTGTTGCCAAAACTGCCTGTGGATGAAGGTAAGGGGAGCTGACAGTTAGTTAGTTAGTTAGTTAGTTAGTTAGTTAGTTAGTTATGGCCCAGATTGTTCAGGTTATCTAAATCCTATTTGAGAATAGCGAGTCAGAATTTTAAAGGGCAAAGAAGTAGCTGTTTTCTTGTTCAATTAACATGTTTGGTTTCCCTCCCCTAGACGCTCTTTGGGAAACTCAAAATGCTTTTAACACTTAGTAATGGCAAGACTCACTGTTGTGTCAAATCTTACAACACACTTCTAGAGTTTTTAGCACCACTGGAGTGAAACATGTTCTTAAGGCAGATCATTAAAGCAGGCTCCCTGTAGTGAACTTAGTTGTCTCAAAGTGTCTTCCTAAACAGGAGGTAGAACAGTAGTTTTGCAGAAAACTGTTGAAAATATTGGAGAAGTGTAGGGAGGTTAAGTCTCTTCATCTGCTCCATGTCTTGCAGTCCCTACAGATTTAGGACAAAAAGCAGACTCAACACTTCCCAGCTCTTTTGGCTTGTGTTGTACCATAATAGTTGTCAGTGCAGTACAGAATTCTACAATTTAAGCAGAAATCTGATTGTTTATCTGCTTTATCTTTCTCCAACTTTTCTGACAATTCTTTTGTTGTCAAGTTTGGTATCCTTTTGTGTCCTTATTAGATAGCTCCAAACTCTGGTTGAGTGGGATTGGTGTTAATTATGGCTGCGAGAATTCACAAAGGGGAGGGGAGGTGACATATCAATTCTGTGTTAGGAACTCAGGTTGTTAACACTATGTCTCCCCACTGTGGTTTTAGGTTGTCACAAAAGCACTCACACAGGTTGCCTTTGCTTGATTTAAAGAGACTTTTCCTCTTGTTCCTCTACAGCCCTCTGTGCCCATCCTATGCTGGCTCAGGAGGGTCCCCCGCCCTCTGGAGAAGCCTTTCAGATGATGGGGGGAGGGGGGCAGGGGAGGGAGCAAGTGTCTTTAAAAAGAAAAGCAAGTGAAAACCAGTGCAGATCTGGCTTGAAGTATAGTAAACATTGGGTGAAGTTTAATGGCATTATTTATTAACTGCACCTCTGTGCTTTTTGTTGTATTCTTAAGAATGCTTTAAGATTACATGCATTAAAGGACTAGGTGCCATTGTACTGGTGAGCCTCTCTGTTTACTGATACTAATTGAGTTGAAAGGAATGAGAATTGTAGGATAGGAAGAGGCAGGGGGCAGGGAGAACAATCAGTTCAAAAGCCAGAAGGTGGATTGTATCAAGATTCTCACAAAAGATTTATTTCTAGCCATTTTGAAATAATATGGTTGCATATACACTTTGAAGAGAACATTTTCCTCTTATTAATTGGTTCTGATCCCATGAACCATGTATGCTGGAATGTCACTTCATTGCAGGTGTTCTATGTCAGTTCTAGGAAACACAGACTTGCTGTGATGGTTTAATTGCTTTGAGATACAAAGAGATATAATTTCCGCCATCCTTCTTTGTAAAGATGTGTGTATTTCAGGTGGTGAGGTTGAGAGCTTAATTACAGTCAAGAAAGAAGAACCCCAAAGACAATATATGTAGTAGACTGTCTGCAACACATGTGGATTTTTAGTTAGATTATCTGCCGTTTGTGGGGGATGGAGTGGGAATTGCTATGAAGTTCCTGGGTGGTTTGAATGTTTCTGTTGTAAATAAACCCTGACAATCTGACTTTATTTGCTGTACATAAACAATTTGGTGGCAAGGATAGGCCAACCAAATAGAAACTATGAAACAAAAATTGGAATTATAAAAAGCATTAAAATATGTAGGAAAAAATTGACTGTCAAACATGTTAAGAATGCTTATGCTATGGTTTATGTGTGTTGTGTTCAGATTGCAAAACTAGCTGTTATATCATTTTCTTATTAATAGCTGCTGCGGCCAAGGCAGAACATGTGGAGGAAAATGAAGAACCATTTGTTGCTCCTTTGGGACTGAATGTACCTTCTGACGTGGAGCTGGTAAGTGTCGTATGTGTATGTGTTTCAATGTCATATCTGAAACATTTTTGAAATGACTGAGTTTTTGTTTTTCTGGAATTACTTGTTATGCAGAAAGAGTTTGGCAACCAATTCTAAAAAAAATGTATTGTAAAATCTTTCTAAGAATCTTGTCAGAGGTCATGCTGCTCAGTGCTTGGTCTTAATTGAAATCAGCAGACTTAGGCTCAAATCATATACACACCTGGCAGTATGCCTCATTGAACACTGGGTGACCTGCTCCCAAGTAAATATGCACAGAATCTGGCTGTTAAATGTTTCACGTATTAATTCCTAAACTGTCTCCTGGGGAAACATTAGTGTGCTAGGAGGGGGGAGTACTTGTGTTGCACCAAGTCCGCAGTAGAGGCTGCTGCTTGCTATATTGGTATATGGGAAGTTGCCTTGCACTGAGTCAGACCATTGTTCCATCTATCTCAGTATTGTGTACCATTGCTGGCAGCAGCCCTCCAGGTTTTCAGTTGGGGATATTTGCAGCTCTGGCATGCAGCCCCTGGGAAGGCTGACCAGGATGGGAAATAGGGCACCAGGCTGGAAAAGGTTCTCCGTTGTTTCTCAAGTAATTCTTGAGTAATTCTTTACACACTCCAGACTTTTCTGGAGGGTTCAATGAACCAAAAGTCCATGTTAATTTAGAGTTTCCTAAATTTGGGAAATGCTGGTCTAGCATATTTATTGAACAGTTGAAATAATGTAAAATACACATTTATGAATTCCAGTATATTAAACACCTTGCAAAGTGGATTCTTGACAAATCCAACACTAAAAGTGTTAACCTGCTGTCAGGATTGCTCCCTTAACAGCGTGAAGCTGATTAACAGCATGGAATGGATTAACAACTTGTTGATGGATTCTTAACTTTAAATTGAAAAAAACAACAGCAGTATACTTGGTTCCACAATTTAACTGAACAGACATTTGCTATTAGGTATCTTAGGGTAGAACAGGCAGGAGCTGAAGATTTCTTTTTTAATATAGATAACAACAATAGATGTGCTTCAGCTAACATATCTAATCATGTTTTTCTTTGGAAATTCTTCAGTGTCCTATTGATGCAGATTTTGTTGAAAGAATGCAGAGGTAGGCAATGAAATCAGGTCACTTCTGTGTCTTTGCCCACCTACTGCCTTTCAGCACCTATTGCAAATCTGATCACCCATACATTGGATGCAGTGTTTGGATGGTGCCTGCACATGTGAAGTCCAACATGAATAGGCCTGAACAATGTGGTTTTTAACTCCGATAAATTGCAGGAAATAGTTTTGCTGTTTGGTCATCTTTATGTGTGTAGACTGTGCAAATGTTTTAGCACAGCTTAATAATGCTATGCTTCACCATCTTAAGAATCTGAAGACAGTGTGTTTCCTGTAGACATTAGGAACTGCCAATCAGCATTAGGTTGTAGTGTGTAGGCTTCTGCCATATCTGTAGTTGCATCCGAAAGCATTTTTTACAGGTCATTTTTCACTGACGTATCAGTAGTGCTAGCAATCATACCTGCCATATAAGACAACCTGTAATGTCTTTCAGTCAATATCTGGACTATTTACTGGGGGTTTTTTTCTTCTTAATCTTGCCACAAAAGCAGGTATATATCACAAAAATGTGTGTTTTAAGGTCTTTTCAACTATTGCACATGTCCTTTAGTTAGATTTGTCAGTATGGATTCATCATCTTGTAATTCTTTTCCTCAAAAATTTTTCCCCTGTTGCTTTTTAAAATAACCACACAATTGGAGTTATGCTGAGTTGTTACATAAGAAGCGCATGAAACTGTCGATATAAAATCTGATGCCAACTGTGTAAAGGAAATTGTGCAAAAGGCTGATTTCAGTAGCAATGCATCATTTTAGAATTATGGAGGTGTTTTTTTAAAAAAAAATAGGAGGATGAAAATGCATCTTGTGTAAGTAATTAAGGAAAACAGAGCTAGTGAAGTGGAAAATTAAACAAAAACTCTGAGCAGTGTACTGCCGTAGAGCTCTTAAAGCTCTTAAATGACACATTTCTTTGAATGGTTTAGTTCTTAGAAGGCTAAGTTGTCATAGTCAGCAATAGTGGATAGTAGTGCAGTCATTCTCTTCTCCATTTAAGGAGGGTCTAGGATATACATGCATTATGCTTCTAATTGTTCATCTCTGTGCATGGCATGCAGATGATGGGCAGCTCTGAAACTAATGTTCTGCTATAAATACTGCTCATCAGAAAGTATGTCCTTGTGAAGTTCATTTAGATAGTAGCTGTGCCTGTATTGGAAAAGAATCATAGTTGTTTATTGTTGTGGGAAAGCATGCTGGAGCCAAAATGGGTGTAGAAAAATGAATAATGTGATTAATTTGAGCATCTTGATTGCTTTCTGAGCAGTTGGCATTTGCAGTTACCCAAGCTTTCTAATCTAGATTTTGTAAAATGAGGTCTAGGAGCATTGTTTGAAAGGTCTTGTACAGCTTGTCACTCCCCAAGCTGAAAATGGTCCACCATCCGTGTATTAAGTAGAATTTCTGCAGTTCTAGGTAGATAGGAGTTTTGAGTCTCTATCAGTCCTCAATAACATAGTTTGGATGATTTGGCATTTCCGTGCTCTCTGACTTCTGTCACTGCGTTTCGTTGCACCAGAAGTGGTTTATTCATGCTGCCCACATGACCTGGAAAGCGTCTCTGCACAAACGCTGGCTCCCTCAGCCTGAAGTGCAGCACTCCATAGTTGCCTTTGACTGGACTTAACCGTCCAGGGGTCCTTTATCATACCTTTTTTTTTTAGTTTGGATAATGCCTTAATAAATTGAGATAACAATATGTTTCATTTGCTTCTCCCTTCACCCTATTTGGGAAACATGCCAGAAAACATCCCGTTACAGTGGTACCTCGGGTAAAGTACTTAATTCGTTCCGGAGGTCCGTTCTTAACCTAAAACGGTTCTTAACCTGAAGCACCACTTTAGCTAATGGGGCCTCCCGCTGCCACCTCGCCACCGGAGCACGATTTTTGTTCTCATCCTGAAGCAAAGTTCTTAACCCGAGGTACTATTTCTGGGTTAGCAGAGTCTATAACCTGAAGCGTATGTAACCTGAAGCGTATGTAATCCGAGGTACCACTGTACACCCAAACCCAGAAACTATCCTGGCTTGTTTCAAATTGGTTGCCTCTGGCAAAATAAGGCTCACTCTTTTTAAGCTGAAATATGATTGTTTGCATGGGTCCAGTAGGTTTGGTAAGTCAGAAATTCTAAATGCTACTAGATACTGTGGGCACCAGTAGCTTAACTTGTAAACTGTATGTTCGCCTTTGTATTAGAGTTTGTATTAGAGTAAAATGGAGTATATACTAGCTATTTTAATCTCAAGTGGTGAAGCTCTCAAAGTGGGGATACAGCCTTCTGATTTAGAGTGTTTGCTTCAGTGGGGGTGGGGAAACTGTGGACAGATTCTCTAAAATATAAACTGCACAAGTTTATCATTTTCACTTCTTCTTCTAGCCACCAACAGCCAAAATGCATGCAATCATAGAACGGACTGCAAATTTCGTCTGCAAGCAGGGGGCTCAGTTTGAGATTATGCTGAAGGCAAAGCAAGCTCGGAACTCTCAGTTTGACTTTTTGCGGTTTGACCACTACCTCAACCCTTACTACAAGTTTATTCAGAAAGCTATGAAGGAGGGGCGATATGCTGCGACTTCAGAAAAGAAAAAAGAGGAGGAAAAAAGTAAGTTTAGTACTTTTTAAAAATGGCATTGGCTGTGCAGCAGCTTATGCATTTCTGTCTAAATCATTCCAGCATCTTGATGGATAAGAGAAGTGTTCTCTTAATTCTTGTTGTAAATATTACATGTAATTACCAAAGGCTATGTATCTTGCTGGCAGATAATTATGAGAAGTTTAAATATGTTAGAATAATGGGCTTCCAGGGCATAGCCTAATATTCAGCTAAGTTGCTTTTTAATTTAAATCTGTTCTGAAAATACCTAAAGTAGTAACTTCAGTCTTTACCTATTTGATGTGGCTCCCCTAGAGGTATAAGAAAGCGGGCCTTCAGGGAGCATTGTACTCGACACTCCAGTTAGAAAACTAAGTTAGATCATTTAAATAACATGGCAAATGTATGTAATATGTAGTTCTAAAATAATAATGTTGAGAATACTGTGCATTCATTCTGTTCCTCATGGCTACATCATTGCAGACCCATTAGGACTCATACAGGAAGCAAGTTATGCAAGGAGCAAATATGGATGCACAGCTATGGCCACTTGTGGTGGCATAAATAAGATGCACACTATTCAAATGTCTAACTGGCTTTTGAGGGAAATCTAATGTAACCCTCCTATTTGCAGGCTAGGTTTGTACTCAGAAGAAATGTTGCATTTCCTGCAGCTCTCCACTCCTCCTTCTGTGCTGTTCTGGACAGCCCTCTAATCCTCTGGAACAGATTTTTTCATAGAGCAGAGGAAGCTGCATTGGGAAGGGGGAATAGGAGAGAATTATTTATTCTCTCTTACATTAGCAGGTGCCTTTACTGGAACAAAAGCTGTTCCATGAGCAGGACAGCAGCCTTGGATTCCACACTTCATTCCTGTGCAACTTTTCTAATGCATACGTTGGAAAGATTTAGATATAGGGCTTACGGAATGAATTTGATATAATTATTGATTTCCTTATAAAACCTATAGCCTATGCATTTTAACATCCTGCAAGTCACTCCCTTCCATATCTCTGAAATGATAAAACACAACCATACAATTTTTAAACAGATGCTGGAGGTACTGATGATGAAGATGATGACTACGATGGAGATAACTACCTGCACCCAAGCCTCTTTGCTTCTAAAAAGCACAGTAGACTTGAAGAGCTTATGAAGGTATTTCGGCATGCAAAATTTCATTTTAGTGTTTTATATCTTGCTGAGCACCTGTTTTCTTTGTGAGACATCTCAGTTGATAGGTGTTCACAAACAGAGTAGTTCCCTGAATCCTAAGTTGGAATTTTATACTCTGAATTATAGCTCCCCATAGCGTATCACAAGCTGTTTCTGAAATTCCCAAGTGGGTTCTCCATGCAGCTTGGGGAAATGTTTTTTAGAATATACAAGCCCTGAAAGCCTAACTTGGGTTGTGTAACAAGTTGTTTAATGAGTTGTGTAGTTTTTAGAATCTTGACTAGTGATAACACAGTGTTTTCTAGCTGCCATCAGAAACTTTTTATTTTAATTAAACATATTTAAATAAAATAGCTGTTTAAATAATTTCAGTGACTCAGATGTTGTCATAAATCACAAGGTCAAACAGAAGATTCTTCTTGATTAGAATGACTGAGTTAAAAAAACATTTATATTGATCAATCAAGTGCAGTAAGTAAGATACATGTGTATATAGAGCCAGTGTGTAATTCACCTTTGCAAAATAGTATGATTTCATCTTTGAGCTTCTGTGGACTAAGATGTCATTGAAAGAATCCATCCCTCAGTTGCACTATTTCTAGAATACGTATAGTAGACCTGGATCAAATACAATGGGACATATATTGTTGAGGACAGGCTCAAATCCACAGTTTGTGGCCTTTTGAAATTACTGTTCCTCTAAAGTAGACAAAAATTGCAGATAGGCATGTTACACCATTAGAAAATCCACTAATGGATAAATACATGGTAGTAGGACTAACTAAAATGCTAGTGAGCAAACTTTCAAGTATTCTGGAACTCTTGCTCAGTCTTAAGCAATTTAAAAAACAAACCAAAAATGGAGATGTATTGGAGGAGAAGTCTGCGGCTTGCAATAGTATTAAAATAGAATTAGATGTTATGGGCTGTCCCACTCACTGCTTCACGTTTGTTTTGCAGACACTTGGCTTTTTAAAAGATTTGCCCAACAACATGTTTTTTCTTCCTTCCCATTTTTTTCTTAAAGTCCAGTCTGATGAAGCATTTTAATGAACTTGAAAGCTTGCTGACATCTTTGTGACCTTTTTGTTAGCATGGATTTAATAGTATTACCATTGTGCTTGCACTTGTCCTGTTATCCAATTTGTAAAGCATAACTGGGATGTGCTTTGTAGGATGGGTTGGGCAAAGATTGTGCCGATTTTAATTTTAAAGCATTGTATTAATGGGGAATAATAAACTTCATAGCTTTTATTGCAAATTCATAATAATCACATTCACAACTCTACAAAGCCTTTTGAAACCAATTCCAGGCATATAAAGTTTAAGTGCCCCTTTTGCAACCTTTTAAAATGCCAGTGTGGTAAATTAGTGGCAAGGAATTGGGTGGGGTGGGGGCATTGAGAAAGAAATTCTGAACTTTTCATGCTTTGCTTTTCTCTCCCATCAGCCTTTAAAGGTGGTGGACCCTGATCACCCACTGGCAGTGCTTGTTCGCAAGGCTCAGGCTGACAATAACTTGGCTGCCCCACAGCCAGCTGAAGGAGCAGCTGTTCAGTCATCACAAATAGAATATTCTTCAGATCGTAAGTACATTGGGATAAGCGGATTAAGCATGTGAGAAGGTTTTTATTTATTAACAGGAGCTAGGAGAGGCAGTACTAATAATCACTAAATAGTATTTAGTAGATGTGCCATTGTTGGCTCAACAGTTTTTCCTTCACATGTTCAGTCAAGCTCCCTTAATGTATCTGTCAGGTTTGGAGACATGAATAGAATTCTCTTGTCGTTTCTAATTGATCTGCTGTCTGCTCTGCAAAGTTGCATTTTAAAGGCCAGTTTTTGTTTTCAGCAGGAGCATAGGTGCCCATTATGTATAAGATCAAACTAATGCTTGCTTTGGAGACGCTGACAATTTTCCTTTGGGAATATATATTCCCAGTTTTCCGAGAGGTTCAGAGTGACTTGGATATTTGATCTGTATGAAAATGTATTCAGGCATGTAGGGCGAAGTAGGTAACGCCATGGTTAATGTATTCAGTGAAAGACAAAATTAACATTTGATTGAATGATGAGCGTTTTCAGATTGTGCTTGAAGGCATGAAAGAGGTGTTGCTGGCTTTGAAACTTTAGCAAAAATGGATAGCCAGTGTGGTTTAGTGGTTAAGAGCGGTGGACTCGTAATCTGGTGAACCGGGTTCGCATCTCCACTCCTCCACATGCAGCTGCTGGGTGACCTCGGGCTAGTCACACTTCAAAGAAGTCTCTCAGCCCCACTCACCTCACAGAGTGTTGTGGGGGAGGAGGGAAAAGGAGAATGTTAGCCACTTTGAGACTCCTTCGGGTAGTGATAAAGTGGGATATCAAATCCAAACTCTTCTTCTTCTTCTTCCTCAAGAGCATAATTTAGTTTTCTGTTCCTAACTTGTGCAAGAAACCTATGGCTGTGTGTACCAGACTTTGGATTCCATGGGCATGTGTGGCAATTTTTTAAAAAATAGGTTGAAATAGGAGGCCTTATACACTCAAATGAAAGCATGTTTTCTTGATGAGATCCCAGATAAAGGCAGGCACCTCTTCAGAGCCCCTGGATATGGGATTCAATATTGCTTTCTAGTATCTGACCGTACCCTTTGCCCAGTCAGTCAGCCAGTGCCTAGAAATGGGATTGTGCGCTCTGGCCAATAGTGCTATTTCAGGATTCCCCTATAAGTTAGTTGCATGATGCAATTTTGGTGCATTGTTAATATCTCATGATGGTGTCACTATCTGTATATTGGAATTGAAGAACGATCAATACCGCATGGTGTCTCTCCACTCCCACCCCCCTGCCACTGGCTATCCCGAGAGTCATGGAAGTAGTAGTATACATAAACGAGACTTGCAAGAGGGCCTATTTTTAGGAGGCACCCTTCTCTTTCAACAGATTAGTGTGCCCCAGTTCACAGTTTGGACTTGTTTTGCATTCTTTCACCCGGTGTGGAAAGCAGCAGTTGAATCATGAGGTCCGGCATTTATTTTGAATAAAATAATAAATGTGAATAAAATAAATGTGTAGTTTTTGTACTTTGGTTATTGCCTTCCCTGCACATTAGAAGAGAGGTTGGGAGGGAGTTTACAGTCTTTCATTTTCACCATGCAGAGGTCAGCTAGAAGAAATACTTTAATCAAAGTAGCTCTCAAGAAACATGCTTGTCTTGCTACAGTAGACAGTCATTGATAAAAGTTGGCATGGCTATCTCATGAGGACATTATGAAAAACAAAACTGGTCAGACTGTCAGAAAAACAATTCTGACCTCCTTTTGAAAGTATGTTTCTGATCTGTAGCTAGAGAATAAAACATGCAATTGTTCTGAACAGCATATAAATTTCAGTACTGCATGTTCAGGTTGACTGTTGCTGCAAGGAAGAGAGCTCGCTTGAATGATTGTTTTTAATGTACACAAAAATATACTTTCCGGCAAACATTCAATCAGATGTCAGAAATTGAGGCTCAGGGGTTTCTGTGGAATCTTGGTCGTGACACAGTAGCAAAAATGCTTTATTGGTGAGGCTGCAGTTGGCTAAAGCGCTTCAATATTGCAATTCTGGAGTTATTTCACTGTAGTCAATAGGACGATTTCAAAGTGATTTGAAGAGTGCAAACTCAGCGTATATGCTGCTGATTCTAATTATGCAATCCATACAAAAATTGTTCCGCAGATAATTTGAGTGTAATTTCATCTTGTTAAAAGATGAAGAATAGAAGATCTTTGATAAAGGGATGAAGGCTCAAAGGTTCATGCATTGCCTTTCCTTTGCTCAGTGGTGTTCTTTTCTTTTTCTTCTTAAAAAAAAAGTAACTGAAGGTTGTAATTTCTGGTTACTAATCATGCTGATCTGCAGATACAGTACTGTGCTTGTATAGACAATAGTTCAGTTTAGCTAAGGCATTATGACTTGAGTGCCATAAATCACAATGATGTAGCCTACATAAGTTAACCGAATGGTAGTGGGGTGGTAAGGGGCTACATAGGGTCCTGAAACCCTGTTGCTTGATGACTGTATGTTCTTGGTATACTTACCGCCATTGCTGCTGCTTTGCAAGGCATTGGTCATACATTTTTGCTCCAGGCCATAGGTGTTGGACAGTCATCTGCAGCTGATCTGCAGTTTAAGTCCCAAGTTTAAGTCCCAAGCTCAGTTCTTCTCTGTGGAGTGGATAGGACTCTGAGGTGGGAGGATTGAGGTGAATGGCTACAAGCATACAGTCTCCCAACAGTGGAGGTAGAACATGGCAATTCACCTTACTCCTCCCATCTCAAAGTTCTGTCCACTCCATAGAGAAGAATACCTATGGCCTGGAACGAAAAGGTATGGCCCCACTACCATTTGGGCCATCATCCCTTTACCAGAGATCTTCTATTCTTTGTCTTTTAACAAGATGAAATTACACTCTGTCAAATTATATGCAAAACAGTTTTTGTATGGATCGCATACACTGCTGGAGACCGTATGCCTCTGAATGTCAGTCACTGGGAATCACAAGTGGGGAGAGTGCTGTGGCACTCAAGTCCTGTTTGGGGACTTCACATGGGCTTGTTATGAAATTCTGGACTAGATCTAGCAGGCCTCTTCTTATACTCATGTGGTGTATGATGTAGCTGGAGCTATGCAGGGATGGTTCTGAATACAATGCCTCTTCCACCTGTGGATGTAAGAGGTCTCTAAATGGGATGTACAAACGGTAAGGCCCTAGGTTTGGCAATGGAAGTCAGGAGGGAGAGGACAAACTTGGTGCAAAACACAACCCACGTGGTGCCCTTTGTACATTCACAGTGAAATACCTTTTATAGTAAGAACAACTGTCCTCGGATCCATCATAGAGGAATGGTAGTAAATAAATGCAAGAGTAAATGAATGTCAAGTCCATCCTACTTGGTGTGCTGTGCCTAATACAGATACTTGATCTTTTACAGGTTGCAAACTTGCAATATTATAAAAAGAAAAAAACATGCTCTGGGTGCCATTTAGTACCAAATTTCCAATTGCACGGCACTATAAAGTACACATGACCCAGTTCATAACCAATTACATATTAAGTAGCCTCATTGAAAGTACTAGTGTCTCATTTAAATAACTAATCAATATGTGTTTTAAAACATGGAAGAGTTGGGCAGCTTGGAAATAAAGATAGAAAATTAATCTCAAAACTGTATTCAGAACCTATCAATGATTTCAAAGTGTGGTCTTCTCACACATACACCTTCCTCTGAAAAAGACCCTGTTTGTTCAAAAATGTACATTCTCTGGCCTGTAATAGTGTGTAAGTGATTATATTATAAATAAGTTGAGCAGTTTAACTGAGGAAAGGATAAAGTATCTAGGATAATGTGATATACAGGTGTATATTTTTATACTCGTGGAACTTTGCTCTTGGTTGGAAGTAACAGCCTAGCATTTTTGTAGATAATACTTCTAGACAAACTTGCACAAGCTACAGTAAGACAAGATAACCTTGGGAAATGGATAAATCAATTGAGAAAGTGCTTGCAGCTCCATTTCGAGACAAATGGAAGAGTTCAGTTGGGGGGGGGGAGAAATGTCAGCCTGCAAATCGGTCTTTTAAAAGCATGTAGCATAATCCACAAGGCTGTCTCTCCAGACCGTTAACAAAATTGCTGTGATTTGCAACGAATAGTAAATTTCTCATTGACTTTGGTGAGAACAGGATCAGTGCCATTTAGTTTTGTTACAGGTGATACAGTGAAGAATTTCCTACAGTAGTGACAGGCAATGTCCCATTTACACATGGTATTTTCATCTCTACTTGCAACCACAGAAGGAATTGGCTTGGCAGATACTGCTGTTTGTAGTAATGTCTGTTGTGATGCATCTTTGGGCATGATGTGCAGGAAATAATATGGCATCTTGTTATATTAAATAAGTGAAGATTGCATGGGAAATGGAGTGAACTGTCAAGTTTTTTAAATCCTTCCCTAGACTCAGCAGGAATTTGGAATTGAGTCCAACAAAGATAGGTAGTTGCCCCTCCCTTAGGTCTGCTTTAAGCCCATATATTTAAAAAGATAATCAACACAAGTGATTAACTAGTGTTGACTGCAATGATTTAAATATTGGTCCATTGCTCTGCAGAAAGCACTCTGGACTTCAAACACAAATGTGGTTACAAAAGTTTACTAATTAGTGTTAGTTCCTGTTACATCAGTTTTATGGGGATATGTTTACATTAACAGTATTGCTGTTTAAAAGGTTTCTGTAACTTTTATTAATTGTAAGTGCCCTCTTATAGCAGGGATTGAAACGCAGTGTGCCTAGACAGGTAGTTCGTGCTCCCCACAGGATACCCTGCCTCCCTCTTGCTGAAATTACGTGTATGCTTGAAAGATGCATCAGATTGTAACCAGTAAAATAGGTTGCAGGGAATTGTGGTGGTGGTGCTCACTGCACTTTCTGCAGTTTGTAGATGACCCCCATGGGCCCAGTAAATTTGGCAATCACTGCATTACAATTTAGTCTTGGGCATTTTAAAATCAATCTTCTAGTTCATAGTCAGTTCATTCCTGTTTCTTTCTGAAGCATTGA